CGACCGCGTCGTCCGGCGGGTCGACCCCGTTCCGGCGGAGGCCCTGCAGACACCGATATACATCGGCGTCAGCCTCCGCCTGGAAGTCGTAGGGCACGACCCCTGTCAGGACGGCCGCCGCCTCGTGGGAGATGGTGCGGTAGCCCCTCACGACCCTGATGGCCATGCGGCGCTGTATGCGCCGCAACAGCTGCCGGCCTCGCCGGTGGGCCATCAGGGCATCGGCCCGTACGGGTGAACCGTATAGGCCCATAGCCCGCACCACCCCCATGTAGAGGCGGCGTACCTTCTCTTCTGGTCCCCCGAGATTGGGCGTCAGACGACCCAATAGGGTCGTCACGCCCTCAATCCGGGGACCAGGCGGTCGAAGTGTTCCTCGAAGCGCCAGCGGCTGTCCAGGTCGAGACCGAGGTACTTCATTCGGCCCCCGACCCGGACACAGGCGTCTCCTACACGGACCCAGGCCTGGGCGACTCGCCGCGACAGAAGTAGTCCATGGAACATGACCACCTCCGTCTTTGGCAGCGAGATCTGTAACCTCAGGTCCCGGATCCGGGCGACGACGTGTGCCGCCCCCACTTCCGCCAGCCGAATGGTCCTTGTCTACTCCCTCCCGACCGCGATGATCAGCGTGTCGTCTGCATAGCAGACGATACGCACACCGGGCGTGAGGGGCCCGCGCAGAACCGAGTCGTACCCCAGGTTCCACAGCAGGGGTCCCAAAACGGACCCCTGGGGTACGCCCCGGTTGACCCTCCGTCGCACGATCGTGCCACCCCGGCCGGGGTACTCGATCGCCCTGTCCGACAGGTAGTCCCGCAGCACGATCCGGAGATACGGAGGCACCCCGCGTTCGTGGAGTGCCCCCCGGACCTTGTCCCAGCGGATGGTGTTAAAGGCGTTGGCGATATCGAGAGACATCGCCAACGCCACACCGCCGACATCATACAGCTGTCAAACAGCCGAATGAGTCGGGGACCGAGGACGCGTGAGGCCAAGCTCAGCGCCCGCCTGGGGATGCCGTCGGGCCCCGGAGCCTTGTTGGCCCCGATGCGCCGGACGGCAACCGCGAGCTCCTCTCGTGTGACCCCCAGCTTGGCGGACCAGTTGGTCGGGTCCACCGGCTCGAGCGGCCGCGAACCGTCGTCCGGATCAACCGGGAAGAGGGTCTCGACGACACGCTCGAGAGCATGGGGGTCAAGACACTCCGTGACCGGGGGCCTTACCGGCCGCATACGTCCAAGGACGATGCGGTACGGGCGTCCCCACGGGTCACGGTCGAGCGTCTCCAGGAGCTCGCCCCAGGCGCGGGACTTGGCCTCCCTGATGGCGCTCTGGAGGTCCACCGTTGCTCGTCGGTAGACCTCATAGAGATCTCGCTTCCTCGCCAGGTCGCGGTTCCGTCGTCGGCGGGACCTGGTGAAGCGACGCCGCGCGGCGTGACACACGTCACGCAACGCCGCGATCGCGTCGCTCCACCAGTATGTGGCCCGCCTAGGGGGCTTCCTGGTCCGGGGCATGGCTGCATCACATGCAGACGCCATTGCATCTCGGAGCCATTCGGCCTCCCTATCAACGTCCGCGACCGGTCCAGCCGGAACCTCCGGCCAGGACACGACGAGGGCTGCTGCCATCAGCGCGTCCTCCTCCAGGCGCTTGAGCGCCCAACGCGATGGTCGGTCTGCACCCGAGCAGCGAGCGGGGTGGTGTCGAGGGGTGGTGGAAACATCGAAAACGATGTGGAGGTGGTCACTGAGTGTTACCACCTCCTCCGCCACTCCCCACCCCGACACGAGACGCGCGGCGGCGGGCGTAGCCCACGAGAGGTCAATAATTGACTCTCCCTGCCACCGCACGCACGTGCTCGCAGACCCTCGGTTGAGCAGCCGAAGGTCCGCGCTCGCCGCCCA